ACAAGATCAGCACACATCCATGCCCTACCAATTTTTATATTCTTGCTTCAAAGCATGAAGGTGCTAGAGCTCAGAGAAAATGTCATCAGCATATGTTTTCCCTCACCTTGTTCTCAGAAGCAGTTAAATAGTTTTCGCTGAAACTTTCCAAAGCAGTTCAGCCTCAGGCAGACACCTGGCACTGGTAATTTCTGCCCAAATGATTAAAGTTTGTCAAATTTATAAGCAGCTCAGAACAGGGTCTTTGTAATGAGAAGAGTTGGGCAACCTTAATTATCGATGGTGCTACAAAAGTTAAGCCCAAATATAAACTCTGGATCCAAAATACCCAGAAACTTTGGGAAGTTTGTGCCTGAGTCCAGAACTGAATTTTAGGACCAAGGACCATCACATATATAATATTTAGATTACAGAGTGTGTGTTTACATTTATTTATACATGTTACATGCACAAACAATTATTAAATATCCTCTGCCCCCTTTTTAAGCTGATTTTTTTAGTCCCGCTGTTTAAAGACTTCCTGGTTACATTCAAAGCCTGGGAACATTTAACTGTAAGCTTTGTCAATTAAAGAAAAAATCAGAAGTCCACTCATGAACATTTATTCTAGTGACACCTGCTGTCAGAAAAATGGTAGTGGGTACCTCAGCATTCACACCACACTAAACTTGAGCAGTATTTGCATACAAATATGTCTTAAATAATGTACTGAAGACATGATAGATACATGCATACCACATTCAGTTCTCTTTCTAGGTCACAAAAGCTCCTTCACCCTAGACAGAACATATTTGCTCCAATAAATCTCCGGGAGGCCAAATACTTAAAAAGAAAAGGTCGTGTGTGAAGGGGGAGAGATAGGGGTCAGAGGTGGTGGGAAAACCTCACATGAACAAACGGGTGGCATTCCTTGCTCATAGAAAAACCTATCAATGAAATTATTGCTACATTGTTTTCTTTTTAGATGGGACAAGCATAAATTATACATCATCTTTGCATGTGAGATTGCACTTACCATTAACCACAGAATTGTACTGATTACATGGCAACCCCCCAGATGCTATTTAAAGAGCATTGAAAAAACTAAGAAGTAAATTCCCTGGTCAAAAATTGGGAAGCCTAATCCATATGCAGCTTTCTCTTCCCTCTTCAATACCGTATCAAAGGCCATCTTTATTTGGGTAGGAATTCAAACACCATATATTCAGAACTAGAAAAGCCCAGTTTGGCAATGGTGAGAGATTGTACAGGCTGATGTGAATTGAAATGTTTTCCTGGATAAATGAGTGTGATAAATAATACACAAATGTTTAAGCAAAGCTAGTGACAACTCACTGTAAATAAAGGCACTTTGTTGCCAACAAGGAGCCGCAAAGTGGTTCTGTTATGCTATTTGCTGACCAGCAGAAGCTAGATCACCTGCTTCATATAATTGTCACCATAGTTGTGCCTACTCTACATTAAAACTGCATCTCATAGACAAAATGTCACATTGGATACAATTGCCTGCAAAGTTTATGCCACCTATTGATCTAATTGTGTCTGACAACCTAGCCATAGTATTCAAGATCTTTCAAGAAAACCTCCTGTGTTGAAAGCAATGTAACCAATTCAGAAGTTGTAGATACGTAAATGGTGCAACCCACTGAGACGGTAACTGTTTTCCAACCCAGTAGTTTGCTTTTAAAATACCCCCTTCCACCCTTCCTAAAATATTGTTGCCAGTGGAATAAGCCATTGGCCAAATTCTGCAGTCAGCAGACATGGAAATGTCTGCTTCCATGAAAAGGTTGTATAACCCTCCACATGTTTAAAATGCACATTGATCTTTGCCTGAAGAATGTGTCCAGGGGCACTGGGGACTCCCCCAAGCCTTTTATAAAAGGTAGCACAATCCACTCCTCCTCCACCAAATGGTGCCAATGAGGGTTAGACTGTGACCCCACTCAACCAGTTTTGACTCGTGGTCATGGCACTGCGGCTGAAATTCTCTTCTGCAAAAGCCAACTTTGTATCCCCTTATTTGGGGCTTTTGCAGTCCCTGTATGCTGCTGGGAGGGAAAATTCCTCTCTGCATTGGCAGAGTTTTTCCATGCAAAGAATACAAGGACTGGGATTGTTGCTAACCTCAGTGCTGGGGCACAAGGGGGAGGCTTCTGCTCTTTAGCCATCCTAAATAGGGCTAGCCAAAACGGAGGGGGTCTCTTACAGCAGGGAGGGAGATAGAATTTAAAATAAAAATAAAACAAACCCAAGCATGATTAGAGAAGGATAAGGATGTGAGCTTGCTTAGCTTATGTAATAATATACACATAAGCACAATAAGCACACCAACATGGAGCTAAGTTGACATGCATGAAACACAAGTATTTAGATTGAGGGTGCAAACAGAGAGGAGGCCTGATTTTAAAAATGGAGCTTCCACATGTCCAAATAATCTCTATGAGCCACAAATGAAAAAAAACCCAAACATTTAGTGGGATAGGAAAGCAAGCCTTCCCCGACAGCCCCAGATCCTGAAAAGTAATGCTACAATGGCAGCGTCATGCTCAGATGTTGGTAATGACGGATTCATGGACAAGTTTAAAGGGCTGTAGAATGATAAAGGCTGGGTAACGGTGATGTTTGGGGTCCTTGGACCTTTGTAGTCTTCTACTGCCTGCAAGGAATTCTTGGCAGGGCATAGTCCTTTATTCCATGTTACTGGTATGCCACTTTTCTACTGTTTTCACTGGGTGGCATGGATTATTTCTGGACAGCTGGCACTGTGAGTGGCAGTGAGTTACTGTGATGTTATTAACTGATTGGAAGTTGGTTGTGCTTGCAGTGATGGAAATTTGAGAAAGCTGTGGCTGTTTGATTTCTCCTCTGCAGCTATCCTCAGTTGATTTGCCTTTGGTGAACATTGTTTTTCCTAGTTTATCTGGCCCCTCTTGCCCAGATTCTCCCTCTGGATATCCTTTTCCCGTCTTGGTGTCATGTGACATTATGAGTCTGTGTCTGCACCAGACTGATCAGATACTTTGTGTTCCTTTGGATCCTGCCACTCAGGAGCTATGTGATCCAGGGAACATTTTATGGGAATGCTGACTGATTTATACACATAGCAAATAAAGGGTAGACTCAATGAAAGCTTATCATAGCTCTAAACTGGCACACACCTTTCAGTCCCAGATTGTGAACCCCCAGTCTCATGCACAAGGCTGGGAAGAAATTTCCCCTGCTTGCTCCTGGTCAGCACATTGTTGGGGAGGGCCATCTGTTATAACCAAAATGTTCCCTTCTGCACCAGCCTACGGAAGGAGACCAGATCACTGGGGCGAAAACTATCTGCTCTATGACCATTAACAAACAAACAAATAAATCAAAACAAACACTGGTCCCCTCCATTACCATTTGCACACCTTCTGGAAGGAACTGCCATACCAGATCACACCCGTGGTTTTGCTAGTCCAATATCCCTGCCAGCAGCAGATGTTTCAGATGAAGGTGTAAAAAACCCCACCGCAGGCAGCCCCACTAGGGAGGTCTTATCCTAATGACTAATAATTAGAGATTGGCATAAACTCTGGAGCATGAAATTTTATCTCCCTGCTTGTCACCCATATAAATATCTAATCCCTCTGAATCTTGCTAAATTCTTGGCCTCTGTGATATCCTGTGGCAATGAGATCTACAGTCTAATTACATTTTCACACAAGGTATATTTGCTAGCCCATGTACAAGGAGTTACAAAGGTTTGGATCTGATTCAGAACTCCTCCCTCCACTGCTGCTGATCATATTTGAGGTGAGCAAGTGGTTCTTGTGCCAGCATTCACAATCCCACCATTTGAGATTATGATTCTAAATCTATCCATTTACCAATGCACTTTAGGTTTTCATTCTGTCATTTGGCCCTTGAGGGGAACTCCTACAGGGCCTAATCCTGCATTCCTTGCTCAGGCTTAACTGCATTAACTTCAGTGACAGTTCAACCCAAGTACGGATTTTGTGCTAAACTGTACAGAGCAGCAAGGAGAGGTCACAAGAGGCCTTCCTTCCAGCCACGCTCTCTATGCACGAACGAGTCTTAATCTCAGTTCTCGTGTACCTCGAGGGTAAGTACTGCACAAGGTTGATGCTTACAGGAGGGAAGGAGAGCATGGGCCGTAGCACCACCCTTCTGCCCCAGCCAGTACAGTCGGGCTGGTTCTGGAGGGATAACACACTGCATCGTTTTAAAAGGCTTAACGGAGGCCACTCTTGCCTGCACTTCTGCAGGGACTAAAGATGGCTGGATCTACACTGATGGTATTAGATAGGGTGTCTTAGGGCTGCTTACAAGCATAGTTGGTGTAAAATGACCTGGGGGTACTTATGAATCAGGCCTGTAGACTTCAGTGAAGACTGTAGGATTTGTTCCATGCCTTTATAGGAGCTGTGCTTGCCAATCCAAGGGCAGAAATCAGTTCTGAGTTAATTCTGGGGGGCTTTTTGAGCAAGAAAGCACAGAAAATGTAAAGAAACCTCTGTTTAAATGATCTTTCTTTTCCTTTTCTTTTTTGTTGCGTGGCATTTGGCTATTTTTTGGCTGCCGTCTGGCGTACACAGCGAAAAACCTGTGGGCCAGCATTTACCGTCATGCCACTTTGCATCCAGAGTGAAGATAAGCCATCTCTGGCTATGTCATGTGTAAAAATGCAACTTTATTTGGTGTAACTAGAACACACAGAATCATGTGGATTTAGCAATCAACGATTAAAGGGGAAAAAAAGGAAAGAGCAACACATTTAAAAATTAAACTCTTGGTTCATTCATTCCCCACTGCTCCAGATTTCCTTTGTGATACAGCAGGGAAACTATGTGACTGTCCCTTTAAAAGCCATCATACCAATCAGCAGGTTTAACTGTCAAGCAAGCTGATGTAAGGTTCTTTGAATTACTGAGTGAGGGATATTCTTCCTGCCAGGTCCTGTCCCCTGTAGGCATGGCAGAGAAGTATTATAGGGCAGTCCTTACCTTGGGAATTAGCCTGCAAGACCCCAATGCTGTCATCAAACTGCATAGATTTGATGTTGAGTGACGCCAAGATGCATTCCTTGTCCTGCAGCGAAGCATCATCAATATTATTCTGATTGGCTGACAGGATAACGCACATGTCGCAGAGGTTGATGTTGACAGCCCTTAAATCAGCCCGACTTAATGGCGTACCCTTCGGCATCGTGAAAAAAAAAAAAGAGGGTGGAGGAGAGAGAGGGGGGAAAAAGAAAAACAAATTAAAGATTGAGAAGGAGCTTTGGGAAATTATTTAACAAGTATCTTTTTTATGCTCTGACATTAAGCTGGTCTAACTATGTGCCAGGGAATAGGAGATGTGTGCTAATCTAAAGGGTAGTTGGTGCTGATGGCAGCATTTTAGGTTCAGTCTCAATACTCAGTCAAGCTATTACTAACAAACAAGAAATAGGAATAATGCCAGCATTCTGCATCTCATCTGTGACTTGAAATTGTCTTGATTTAAGTCACTATCATGTGGCAACCTCTGGCTTTCTGAACATAACAAGGGGTGTGTTCTAAATGTCTGTTTATCTAATACCAGGTCATACAGGTCTTGGGCAAAAAAATAACAATTTAAACAGGAAAGCCTTGTGTGTCCTACACATTCTAACTGCAATCAAGATGAAGCTATTTTTCTAAAATGCTTACTACCTGGAGCAATACACAAGAAAGGTTAATCCTTTCCAGTATATGTTTTTGGTGCCTCTACCAACAAAACACACTGATATTTAAACTTATGTGATTAAACCCTTTGAAACAGAAACAGGATGTTAAGTAAATGGGCACAATTCATATAATATTTCCTGGAGCTACAATTACCTTCAGAGAATGCAGTATTTAAAATGAAATGTTGTGGTAGTTAGTGGGGTTTTTTTTTTTCATAACTAAGGCAACCAAGATACAACACTTAACCTGCTACATATTATACACAAGACAATATTTACTCTGAAACTTAAGATATGGACTATTTAAGGCAAAATATATTATGTTTAGGTACCAGGGGCAGTACTCAGAACCCTGTGCAATAAATAGTGGGTTTATATGTGTGCTGGAGACAGCTCAGTCAGTCAGCTTCCACAGACCCATACTCACAGACCCTAATGCTGATGGAGACACTAAATATTCCCTTTGTCTGAGTTGTGTCCCTGGGTATCCAGAGCCCAGCCCCAACTTCCTTAAACACTGAGTGACAAGACCCCAACCCCTCACCTCATGTTCATTCACGGCGAACAATCAGGAAGAATGATAGCTGCTGAAAATGAAGCATTTTCAAAAAGAAGATTTTGAATGGAACAAAGGGCAGTTAGGAGCCCCAACTCCATTCAAAATCAATAGGACTTAGGAACCCAACTCCTGTTTGTGCCCTTGAAAATCTCCTCCCAAATCCCTCACCAACATCCCCCAAAGGGAGGTGGTTCTCCAAGGCAGGCTGATCAGCAGCAACCTGCTGCAGATTATAGCCACAGCGTCTTCTAAGAGAACCAAGATGACTGAATTTTAAGCCTGGTGGAAAGCATGGTGCCCTAGTTTGCAGAGCCCAAGGCACAGCCCAGTGCACAACTCCAGGTAGCTTGTAAAGTAAAACCAATTCAATATTTGTGTCTATACTAGTTTCAGGCACAAAGCCAACTATTTGAGCTTTCACACAAGAACATGGGCCTAATGCTGCAGCCCTTTATTCATACCACATACTTCCCCTCCCGCACCTACATTGAAAGAACATTATTTAGGTTGCAAAGTCAGGCACTCAAAAGTTAGGAAATGCCAGATTTAAAGTTTTCCTGCAACGTTAATTCTGCCCAAGGTGTGTCCATCCTTCATACTAAATGAGGCAGTGGACCCATAGAAAAAAAGTAGTGTGTAATCACGTAATTGAAAACTGAATCATAAAGCATATGTGCAAGGGAGTCAAATTTGAGCCTTTTGATCTAAGGATCAAAACCTTACAATATCTCCTTATTTTGTTAACAAAAATAACATTTCACATTGGATAGGTCTGTAGCAACAGCTGGATTCTGCTCTCTCACACATCATCAAGAATATTATCATCTAAGTTCTGATGCTGAATCTTTATTACTGGTAAGAGGCTTGACTTTCAGATGTCAGGCTGAATTTGCAGGGCTGGCAAAAAAATCTTTCACAGGAAAAATTTGATCTTGAAGCCATTTGTGAGGCACTAAATACAGAACTATGCCATGTCACTGTACAGCAATTGCAGAACAGAAACAAAGATTAACAACAAATCTTAGCTTTGGAGTAACCACGAACTGCAGCATATATTGGACAAAGCTGCCCTTCCATTCAATAAATGCTGTCATCCCTACACACATTAGGCTAAATTTATCACTGGTCTCTCTGAGCTTCTGGGCTTTGCATTTTTGTTAGTTAAAAAAAATGCTAAGAAATGCTAAACTTCTATTCTACTTTTCTATTCTGGTAAGTAAGGATTAAAGAATTCCAAAAGCTGAAACAATAGAACAGCCAAGCTTGCTTTACTGAACTTTTGTAAAGCACAGAGCATCACTTCTGCTATCTGACCAAGGGCCTGAGCCTCCACTGCTTGTACTTTGTGAAGTAAATTACACCCATGGGTATAAAGCCATACCAAACTGGAATCAATCATTCACTTACACTGGAGGTAGCATTCTGCACTCATTGCACGAGTGTGAATGATGATATGAGAGAGTGGAGAATCAGGCCCTTTGAATTTTGGACTCAGAGGATGAAATCTTGACACCACTGAAGTCAATGGCTGTTTTGCTATTATTATTATTAAAGGGACCAGGATTTCACCCACTGTGTTTAGTAAATGCTTACAACCAAACTGTGAACCCTTTTAAAAGGAAGGGCTCTTAATGAAAATGCTATGATCATTCTCTTATATACAAGAGAGTTAGCAGGCCAGCATGTATCAAGCTTTTACAGTTATAGATAGACATACAAATAATAAAAATTGTTTTCAAAGGTTTTTCAGGCATAAATAATGTCATAAGTAAGTACTGTCATTCTGTCAGAAAAATCACAACATCAGAACAGGCTACACGCAGGGCACTAGAGTGAATGTTCAATAGATAACGCAGCTAATACATTTGATAGCAGCTGAAATTCATCCTTGACAAGGGACTGAACACTGCTGCAAATTTCTTCTAATAAGGTCTCTCAGGGCTCAGTTTTCATAGATATAGTAAAGGGGAAGGGCTAAGTCCTGAGGCCTATAAACAGACAAAAGTAAAAGCCTATGATTAAAGTCAATATGAATCTGTCCAGTTGGTGACTTTCAGTAAAAAAAAAAAAAAAGTATGAATATTTTGGCTTTGGACTTACAGGCAAGATTGAAACCTTGGGGAAGTTATGCAGCGTCTCCCATTCCCTTTTCAGATATTCAAGTGAACCCACAAACACAATGTGCTTGAGTTCATGGTAGTGAAAGTTGCTGGCTCGTAATGGCATCACTAGATTTCTTACTCCAATCAATGCAGACTTAGCATCCCCAAATATGCAAACGACCACATGACCACTTAAAACTGTCATCGCTGCTTCACTCCGGGTCTGGAAGAAAAACAATAAGGGAAGGGGGAGATAAAGCAAAAAGAAGCATAAATCATAAACTGAATTCGAAAGCAAAAAAAAAACGTACTTTCATTCATGTACAGTGAAGCAGGATGACATTAGTAATTCATTATTATATTTATTATTTATTTAGCGTGGAGTGTGGTCAGTGCTGTATAGACAGAGGGAGACATGGTCCTTGCCACCAGAAGCTTGCAGTTCAGAGGCAGAGGCCTGGTCTACACTTGAAAATTAGGTTGGTTTAACTACATCGGTCAAAGATGTACTATGCCAATGTAAACTATGCCACACCCCTGAGCGGCATAGTTAAGCTTACCTAAGTTCCCATGTAAAAAGCACTAGGTCAATGGAAGAATTCTTCCATCAACCTAGCTACTGCCGCTCACAGAAGTGGATTACCTACGCCAACGAGAGAACCTCTCCAATTGGCATAGACAGTGCTTACACTACAGCTATGCTGCTGTAGCATTTTAAGGGTAGACAAGCCCAGACAGTATAATGCAGACATATATGACCAAATTCTGGGCAAATACGTTGGTATAAACCTGTAACACTCTACTACTTGGAGTCACTCAGGATTTACTCTGGATTTAACTGAGGGCTGAATTTCCCCCATCATGCATTTGATGATGGATTTATTTCAAAGAGTTCAGGGCACTACACTGTATGGTGAACTAGTGATTAAAAACTAAGAGAAAAGGCAGACAGGGGGAGGGGGAGATGAGGGAGGTTCTAACCTAATGAGAAGCATGGAAGAATGTATCTTTCTGCCACTCTCATTTTGGTGCAAAGGGACCTGTTCGGGATACGGATGGCTTAACTTTGGTATTCAAATCTGCACTGCTTTAGCACAGCAAAGCTTTATGTTCCAGTACGAGGAGTAAAAAGAATAGTTGTGAATTGTAAAATACAACTAGTTAAGAAGCAAAAAGTGGTCTACCTGAAAAAGAATAAAGTGACGATGTTCGGGATAATGTGTCCCCAACTATAGAATGAGGGTATAAATGGAGGGAGTGTGGGAAACAAACCACAACTCAAACACAAAAAGAAAAGGAGTACTTGTGGCACCTTAGAGACTAACCAATTTATTTGAGCATAAGCTTTCGTGAGCTACAGCTCACTTCATCGGATGCATACTGTGGAAACTGCAGAAGACAGGTTTTCTCACCCTCCGCACCCCCCCCCCCAAACTCACTCTCCTGCTGGTAATAGCCCATCCAAAGTGACCACTCTCCTTACAATGTGCATGATAATCAAGGTGGGCCATTTCCAGCACAAATCCAGGTTTTCTCACCCTCCGCCCCAATGTGTTTCATACACATTGTAAGGAGAGTGGTCACTTTGGATAAGCTATTACCAGCAGGAGAGTGAGTTTGTGTGTGTGGTTTTTGGAAAAAAGGTGGGGGGGTGAGAAAACCTGGATTTGTGCTGGAAATGGCCCACCTTGATTATCATACACATTGTAAAGAGAGTGGTCACTTTGGATGGGCTATTACCAGCAGGAGAGTGAGTTGGGGGGAGGGGGAAGAGAAAACCTGGATTTGTGCTGGAAATGGCCCAACTTGATTATCATACACATTGTAAGGAGAGTGATCACTTTAGATAAGCTATTACCAGCAGGAGAGTGGGGTGGGAGGAGGTATTGTTTCATGGTCTTTGTGTATATAATGTCTTCTGCAGTTTCCACAGTATGCATCCGATGAAGTGAGCTGTAGCTCACGAAAGCTTATGCTCAAATAAATTGGTTAGTCTCTAAGGTGCCACAAGTACTCCTTTTCTTTTTGCGAATACAGTCTAACACGGCTGTTACTCTGGAACTCAAACACAATAAGGTCTGGAGGCTAAAGGTCTGAGTCTCCTCTCTCATTGGTTATACTTACATCACTCTGACTCCACTGACTTTAATGCAGTAACTCCTGACGGACACCGGTGTGAGAGCAGGATCAGATGCCCCTAGATGTGGGGAAACACTTCCAACAACTCTGGCTACAAAAGCATATAGAAAAGGATTCTATATGTCCACACCCAGAGTTTTCGGTTTGCTTCCAAAGCTTATAGCTGGCATAAGTAAAATATTCTCTGGTCCGGAGTGTTTTTCTTGGACTGCCAGGACTGGTTCTAAAGCTTCTGTAGCAAAATGAGAATGTCAAAACCCAGAATGCTTTTCCAGCTCACTGCCATTTCATAGCAGTGTTGGTGGGTCTGAGCTAATGGAATTTTCAGCCTTTTACACATCCTTTTACCCAGCAATGTAAGGAGCCTTCGTGTAAATGAGACTCAGGCCACAAATGTTTTGAGATGTTCTTGTAGATTTATAGATTTTTTGTGTGTGTGTAAATGTTTTAAGACTGTAGTCCAGGATCTGAGACTGTGACTGAGCCGTGCTTGGTGCAGCTCAGGGGAGGACTCAAAGACCTCGCCTATGTCCTTGGACAAGCTGCCACCAAATTGGAGAAACCTCTGTGCTGTTTTAGTTTACCAAAACCGGATACCGGATTTACCTAAATTACCGGATACCAAAAGCCCCAGAGGGTTCTTCTGGAAGTGAGAAATAGTCATGATGCAAGAACTTGACTAATGGTGACTTTTCATTGACAAGAGCAGCTGAGGGGATGAAAGGAAGAATCCAAAGAAGTACATCTAAATGGTGTTCAGAATTATCTGCTTATCTCAATGACAGTGGTTAAATTTGTGCTGTAATCCCAGTCAGTTTTGAAGGCAGCTCACACACTGAGATGAACATTAAGTAAAGTCATTAGTTGATGATGACTTTTACATCTGGATCCAGTCTTGGTGCTGTTGCATTCCACTAATGGAAATCATCCTATGTGCATCAAAATTATGATGCCAGTGAGGTGGATATTCAACAAAACTTAGCTACGGGTTGTGAAGAATCGATGAATAAAACAGAGAACAGGGTGAAGAATCGATGAATAAAAACATTTAATGGAGTATTGGCCAGTCAATGGTTATTAGCCAAGATGGTCAGGGATGCAACCCCATGCTCTGGGTGTCCTTAAACCTCTGACTGTCAGAAGCTGGGACTGGACAACAGGGGATGGATCACTCAATAAACTGTTCTGGTGTGTTCTGTTTTTTCCCTCTGAAGCCTCCGATACTGTCCACTGTCAGAAGATAGGATGGACTAGATAGACCATGAATCTGACTCAGTATGGTTGTTCTTATGTTCAAAGTAGCACATTTATTGAAGCCCGCACATAGTAATTTTTTTATTTTTGTTAACCTACAGAGTAAAGGTTTTCACTAAGCTGTGGCTCTCTGCTGTTTATTCTTTTCACAGACTACATGGAATGCAAATGTCGAATATGCTGCAGAGGAACTCCCTATGGAGCAGTTTTGGCCAAAAGGTTTCTCGTCAGTTTAAAAAAAAACCCATATTCTGCTTTCAGTTACACTGCTGCAACTCCATTAATTTTCATGTAACTGAGAGCAGAATGGAGCTTTCACATTAAAAATATTGAAGGATTCGATCCTGCAAGATGCTGAGCACCTTGGCTTTGATACTGCAAAACATTTAAGCATGCACTTAACTTGAAGAACATGAGTAGTCCCATGCATGTGCTTAAGTGCTTTGCTGAATCAGGCCCTTACAAGACTGAACCCAAACCATGGTTCTTGTCTGAAAGGTAAGTATGTAAAAATGGCACCTTTCCACTTGACAAACCTAATCCCTATGTAGATTCAAAGTCCTGTCTGCTTTCTTGAGGGACACACTGCCTTATACTGCTGTCAGCCCTGCATAGCCAACACAGCTCTGGGGCAGAGAAGTGAGTTCTTTTCTGGTTCAGGCATCATCTGCACAATTGTTTAAACAACTTCCAATTATAGGACACTCAAAACAACCCCATCTTCTTCAGATTATGCCCTCACTTGCACTCTTGCAGTAAGGTTGCACTGATGTGCGTATAGACATAATTTGTGGCAGGTGTAAGTGAGGGCAGCCTTTTGCTCGCAGGATCTTTACCACTGGTGATGATGCACGGAACAAGAAATAACTCAGCCAAACTTGTAGATCCTAGGTTGAGTTTACCAAGCAGACAGTTAAGAGGAAAAAAACCCACATCTATTTACTTGCAAGCGGAGAAAAATTGATATGGCGTCGAGAAGAGATAATAAATGAGGAAACCCCACAATGCCATTTTATAGAAACACTTTTCACAGTAGAAGAACATGTTAAGGTCATTCCTGACTGACCTGTTAAAAAATATTTAAAATATTACAGCTGATCTCTGTCTCCCTCTGTTATAAAGCAATGTATAGTGATCCCTCTCTGTTATGAAGTAATGGACAGTAAGGTTGCCTCCTCATGGCCTACTGAACACCCTGGAATGAATATTAATTTTAAATGTTCAGACCAAACTCTGGCTAACAATTTAGTCACTGGAATTGACTAGTTTATTGATTGTTTAAATGCCAAGATTGCAGTTCCAAACAATGTCACGGTTATTATAGCCCCGGAGGAGCACGGGAAACAACCTTTTACGCCCCGATCGTTAGAATAAACCAGGGCTGTCACCATTATTGGTTACACCATGCAATAGCATAGGGAAAACGAAGACAGAGATCTCAAGAAAAGCTTTATAAACTGCGACAAAGTGAAGATCCACCAGGGAGCTCATTTCATAGATCATCAGTTTTGTGTTTGAGATCTGGAGTGAGTTACTTGTTACTCTTAGGTATGAGTACATGAACACAAACAGCACAAACTTTCACTGAATGTAACAGATTGTGATAGGCCTTCTAATTATTTTTAATTACTTGAGTCAGTTTGATGGCCCTCCCACTTTAACAAATGAAATGAATACACACTAGACCCAAATCACTACGGTAGATGCCTAGAATAGCAGTACCATTTACTCAAGCTTGTTTGAGTGCTTTAACATGTTGAGAACCAAGCAATAAATTTAAATAGGGCAAAATTCTCATTGACTAATAAGGAATAACGCATTAGCACCTTGTTTCAAAGAGATGAATGGTACATGGTGAATGTTCACCATAGCTCTGATCCTACAAAGATCTGAAGTACATGTATAATTTTAAGCTTCTGAGTAGTCCCATTAACCCATATGAAAATGTAGTCTCAGGATTTGGGGCCAATTTTCAGTGAAGTGTTATAGGCTTGTATACCCACCAGGGTTTGCCAGAATGATGGCTCAAAATCCATCCATATTGCATTTCTGATTTCAGTACAATGGTTTTTAAAACGATATAGATAACTATGGTAACCCATTAAACATCTGACATTCCTATTGTCTAAATGGGCTCTCTTTGGATAGAACTTTGTTGGACATTCTTTTAAAGCACCCACCAAAATGACCTTTTCAATGTCCTTTCCTGGACACCAATGAAACATCCCCGTGGAGTCATATTTTTTCACACTGGCATCCATGTTGTCAATCTGCTCATTGCCGGGAATTAACAAGGGGTCATGCCTGGGGGAAAAAAAAAACAAGTCACAGATAATGTAAATGGAAAACGTTATGAATTATGGATGGGAAAATATCCCAAGAGCTATATCCAAACAGGGATAAAAGTCAAAAATGAAATTTATTTACATTTAAACAGATGTTTTCAACACACCTGCCTTAGGGAAAAAAAGCTAATAATATAAGAAAAAAAGTTTTTAAATGTTGGGTTGGGACCTGGAAGATTTTCAGTAAGCTTTTCAGTTGATTTTAAAAAGGTCTGTCACATTCATGTCCATAAATATTCTTTCTTCCCATTCCCATCCCTCCAAAAAATAATATCAAAAGAGTTGCTATTAGCATCTGCAATGAAATAGAAGGGATCGGAATAGAGCCCCATGCTGACTGACTGGCAGAAGTATGGAAAGCCAATTACTTGCTTTTACCACATACAACTTCTGACGTGATGCTCTTCACAGTAAAAGCTTTAACAGGCTGCACTTTAAATATTTTAGCAATTTGCCCAATCATATTTTGCTTTCCCAAACTGAAGCCCTTTAAAGATTCAGCAGTATGTCATTTTAGAGTAGACTGACTAACAAATGCCCACATCTGGAATACATGATTTTAATACTAAACAACAGTGTCCATTTTCTGTGACAACTGTATCTGTGGTAACCTTCTAAGTGTTTCTGCAGCAGGATTTTAAAACCCAGGGCTTCTCAAAGGAGACACAAATAAGAGACATTTTAATTAACTGCCCTCCGACAAATATAATTGTGTATGCACTTGCATACTCAAATATACACAAACACACACTTCATTAATTTATTTGCTGAAAAACAATTATTGAGGGACGAGGGTAAGTGACCTTGCAAAGACACAACAAGATGCTAAATAAAAGAAGTCTTAGTCATAGCATGATATGGCATCATTAGAATCAGTATAGCCACTACAAGATGCAGGGGGAACTGAACATAAAACCAAACAGGGGACAGAGTTTTGTCTGACAAAGCCCCCACGTTCCACACAATTTTGCACAGAACTTTCTGTCATGAAGCTCCAGGAATGAGTTTTCATTTCACAGAGGAATAAATTTGTAATGTGAAAAAAGACACCTACTCAAAGGCATGATATTCAAATGTAGTTGTCCAAGCTGTGCCCTTCGGGAAAAAAAAAGGGGGGGCCTGCATATTTGTTGTACACACAAAGCCTGCACTGACATGCCAAGGAAATGAGCTAAATGTGCTCAGAAATATTGTTCCATGCACATGACTGCGTGTTTTGTGCAGGACACGGATACACACACATTATTATTATTTGGCAGCTTCTACATAGGAGACCATATTTGAAAATTTAACCCAGTTTTTAATTTCTTTGAACCAACAGAATACAGTAAGGCTCTGCCTCTAGAATAGTCTATACTGGCAAAATTCTGCCTCTGCATATGCACAGGTTAACTCTCCCTGAATTGCACAATCAGCATAATGTGATACTATGCTAAACATGCTCACAAATAGGTGCCTGAAGATGGCTTCTATAAAACTTGCCCACTTTGGCAGCTATCAGTCCAACATAACAGGGATAACACATAATGCTTACAGTGCCTGATCATGCTCCCACTGAAGTCCATTGCAATATTCCTACTCACTTCACAGGCACAAACCCACAGAGTGTGTGAGCGGGACTGAAGAATCTACTCATTTGGTTACCCCATTTAAAACAAAGTACTTCCATGCTCTCTCCCAAGGAGGGAAGTAGTTTAACATGTGACAAATACACGTGTAGTTAGTGAACCTCTCCTGAAAAATCATTAATCACGTGTATGGTTTTGTACTCAGCACCGTAATATCTGAGGAGTGCTTTCCATGTTAATCAAATTGGCAGCAGGGATGTCCCTACTGATCTTTATGGATACTGGCTCTGCTCCCTTTCAGGTTATAGAAAGCTCTGCTTCGGGTAGGGTCTCACTCTTGGGATAGGGGAGAGAGGAGGAATGTGGGATTAGAAAAGGGTGGTTGATGCTGAGAGTGCCATTCTTATTATGGCGTAAAAGCTGTATCAAGTAGGAATGTTGTGCAGAATTTCCTAAAGGTGGTCAGACTGTGGATTCATCTAATCTCTTCTGGAAGTTTGTACCACAGCTAGAGCCCTTCAATTGATGGTGCTTTGTCCCCAGCCATCTTGCACCTCATTCCAGGCTTTGTAATCTGCATTTTGTCCAAGAGGAGCACAACAATCCTGAGATTTTGTAGATGGAAATACTAAATATATTGAAAGCCCCAGCACTTGTGCAATTGGTAAGAGGGTGAGTGGGGTGAATACCAACCCAGGGAGCACCCTGCTTGGCAAAGAATTTTTTAATACCTGACATTTGGTTCCACTGGGTCCTTTGCAAAGGCAAAGGATTGGGTCTTCAGAGGTATTTTTATGAATTCCAATGATAAGTCATCTCTATTGCAGAAGGTTTAACAGTGTCCATAGTGGGAAAGACGTTATCATCGGTTAGGAAATCTCCAAAGCCTTTCTTCACATTCATTGTGGAATTTTAACAAGTGATTCCCCATGAGCCCTTTCTAGCACATCACTGACCTGAAAGCAGAAGTCACTAATCCAGTCTCCTTCTAGCCCCCACTTAATATGGTTTCTTTCAAATAATTAGGTACATTAATGATGTGATGTATAAATTTCCCTTCATACTCACTAAGAAACAAGAGTAAAATGGTTGCTAAAAATTACTCCATTTTATTTTCCAATTAATTTTTCTTGTTTGCTTTCAGGTCTGGGGCTAGATAGCCCTCTTCAGCTTTTATTCAACATTTGTAGGTCTGTCCCTGCCTCATTCGCAGCAATGCCCGAAGTCAGAAGGAATCCTTTAATAAAAGCAGGTGACTGCATGATAAAAGTTTGTTCTGTGGTTTAACTGTTTTCAGCCTTGATTCAGTAAACCACTTAAGCAGGTGCTTTCAGTTCAGTGCTTACTTAAGTGCTTTGCTGAGCTAGGGCCTTGCCTCATACAAGAGCATCCATGTGAGCTGGTGATAGAAACTTACAACTAGAGCTTAATGAATTACTCATGGTAAACAATTTAATTGAGGAATGTAGCCCCTTTTTCTGTTTGTGAATTATGTGCGAACAGACTTGGATTTTAATGGATTTATCTGTTATTGATAATTGTTTGATTAAAACCTTATGTAAATATATAATTCAGCAAATAGGCTGTTGACTTAGAGTAGGTCTTTTGCTATTTGTGGTGTCTAACTGGGCAATTAAGGCATGTGGTTTTGTTTTTGCTCTCTGATTGGGTATTACACCATTATTTATTGTTCGTATTACTGTAGCACTTAGGGGGCCCTAGCTGTGGTGAAGGACCCCTTCCTTGTAATCAGATACAGCCCTCTCCCCAAACAAGGAACTGCTTCTAATATTCAAATTGCTCTAAAAGCCATGTGCATAGTGAAATTGTCTTGAAAACTAGTAATCCACAACAGGGGGAAGAACACCCATTGAGATGAATGGGTCAGTTCACAACTCGCAGACTGATTGTGTCAGGTTGAATTAATCTTCACGGGGTGTTCTGATTCATTTGAGAACAACCCATGGAGACAAATGAACCACTTAATTCCTTTGCAAATCTCTCATGATGTGGAAGGTTGTACAGAACTCCTTCCCCTACCCTAGCCCCTGAAATGGAGTAAGGAGCCTCCCTCCCATACTGAGGGCCTGGAGGAGTTAGGAGAAAGGAAAAGCTAGTAGTTGAGTGTCAGTGAGGTGTTCCCAGGAAGCCTCCACGTGCCCCTCCATAGGTGCCCTTTGACTACAACCACCTCCTCAAAAAACTAGGGAAATTCGTAACCCAAAAACTTGGTTACTGCAGAGCTGAGGTTGACCACCAGTTCCTGCTTCCAGAACATCAAATGCACCTATTCTCAGACCTCTTAAAACCAGGATATATAGAGTTAAAGTATATACCAGCGTCATCCCGCAACCTTAACTCTCCTCTCTTTGAATGATATCCCAGCCCACCCGTGACAAACACTGTAGCATTCTATCCTTCCAGATGATATGGGATAGTGCAGGGACACAGCATGTGAGTACAATAGGAGAACCTGTCACACTGTGTTCTATGGCAAAAATTGCATTTAGGGCATACTTCACCTGGCTATACCTGGCCTGTATTCAACCACTTCACCTACTATGTACAAATCAATCCAGAGCTGCTAGATATTACCACTTTATGGCCTTTGTCCTAAGGATTCTCTCAGGAACATCAGCTGCACTTCCTCTGATCTCCAGTGCACTATCATGATTGCTATCAGACTGCTACAAATCCCCACGTCAAGAACAGACCGTCATGCTCCTTCATGTGCACAACTCTCATAATTCAGCCCAGCCACAAGGGGTCCATGACTTCTGGGTGCACCTGTACCTCTCCTCATCTGGTGATGTGAACTGTGGTGACCAGCTCCTAGTAATCCTTTCACCAGGTCAATACTGCTACCCCTAACACAGTGAAGGGCAATTGGAACTCATGCAGACAAATGAATGAATATGATTCTGTGGCCCACAACCTGTCATATAAAATGGCCCATTTACTCAGCCATTCCTCATGTCTGCTTTATTTTAGGGCTGTCCTGGCTGAAACATACTTACAGTATATCTCCTGTAGATCTTGCCAGCTCCATGGGGCAGAGTTAGGGTTGTGGGGTGGGGCTGGTGTGCATCTTAACTTGCTGTTTTCTGGTTTTCACTGGTTTAAGTACAAGTACATTCAATATTCTGAGAGGTATAAGGCAATTCTGGTCAACCTTAACTCTGTGTTAATGAAGCTTTTGGTCAGTTTATAATTCTGTAACTACAAATGCACTTATTTACACCGTGCTCAGTACTTTGTTTCTCTAATTTAACCTTTTCAAGCTGTGATAATGAGAGGCCCAATAGGAAAAATAATGACAGGATATAATAAATGGAGAGTAATTGTCTTAAAGTCTAATATTACCATTTATTAACAAATGGCTAACATATGC